CTCTTTGTTCTGAAGCATCATTCAATAAATTATGACCTTATAGCTTAAAGGGTTCTAATCATATTTTCCATTTTTTACCCAGGTAAAGATATATAAATTTTATTAGCACATTTGACAGGCAGTGCTTGGTAGATTTCTGGATTGTTCTGGGCACAGGGTAAGCAAGTTCTGTGTATCCATGTCTAGGGTAATGCCCAGAACTTAGGGGCAGGTATCTAGAGCCTACAGATCCAGAGATCTGAAATGAATTCATACTTGAAAGACCTTTGGTCTGTGCTACCTTGTTAGTTTTGTAAAACATTGTGTTAATACAATCTGTAAACGAGCCTAGCTGCTTTATGTGAATGATAATCAAAGGCTGGTCTTATAATTTGTTACTGGTACTTTTGATATTTGCAAAAACAATATAATGACTAAGATTATGTATGTCATTTTGTATTTCTGAAATTATGCATTTGGTAAAGATGACTGAAAGTGGGATTGTTGCTCATGGCGAAAAATAACTACTTTTTGATAGTTAATCAAATCACTGAATCCAGTATAAACTTATGTTGTTTCTCTTTTTTTAGAAAGAAGCCAACAGAACATATAATTGTGAAAATTTAGGGCTCCATGAAATTCCTGGCACTCTCCCAAATTCAACAGAATTTTTGGAATTTGGTTTTAATGTCTTGCCTACACTTCAAAACACAACCTTCAGCAGACTCGTTTATCTTACATTTTTGGATTTAACCAGGTATGTATCTGAGTGCTTCATGTCTTCTTGGTATATTGCTTTCATAAAAACACAATATGTATTCAAATAATTTCTAAGAACTGTGGGGAAGCACAGAGGCAAGCTTCTCTCCTTGTGTGTTCATTTACTCTCCATGAAATACTTTCACCCAGGTCAAGTGTAGTTTGAATAAACATCTGTCAAGAACCAGAAGAGAGGCAAATGCATTGTTCTCAAACAAGCTGCATTAGCGGTTGCTGTTTAAGAAGTTCTGAGGAAAACTAATAACAATAATGAAAATAAACCTTGTACTAAATCAGTTATTATATTATTCTACAGTTGAGCATAGTTGACAATTCTAGAGTAATGACAAATTTTGAGACGTTTTCATAGGAGAAGCCTGGTACTTGGTGGTTCATATTTGCAAATCTTAGCTACTCAGGAGGCTGAGTTCTGAGGATCAAGATTGAAAGCCAGCATGGACAGGAAAGTCCTTGAGACTTTAATCTCCAATTAATCAATAAAAGGCAAGAAATGGAGATGTGGCTCAAGTGGTCCAGCATCAACCTTGAGTGAAAAAGCCAAGTGAGAGAGCAAGACCCTAATTTTAAATCTCGGTACTGGAGCACAGATGCGCACGTGCACACGCATGTGTGCACACACACACACAATTTATAGGAGCATCTCACACCTATTAACCTTTTCCCCTCACAGATTTGCTAAGGCATTCCATTACTTGGTTTAAGGGGTCGAATCAGGATTCCAAAAGTCTGAACCAGTGTTTGAAAACCAGTATTACAAGTAAAGGAAAAAAAACTCAGGGATATACAATGTGAATGTGTGTATGTGTGTGTGCACATGCGTGTGTAAGAAGAGCAGAGACCTATGTGCTCATGATATCTGCACCCCTTAAGAAGTGCCCTCCACTTTGCACCTTCCATGTAAGCTACTGCAATGGAAAAATGAACATTATAATGCTTTATATTTATAACCACCACTGGAAGATGCCCAAGGTGAATCCTGCTGCCTACTTATGGTTAGATGGGGAAACCATTGGTGTGCATGTGTGTGTGTGTGTGTGTGTGTGTGTGTGTGTGTGTGTGAGTGTATTTACATGTATATGTAATCCAGTATTTTTAGAAGCATTACCAGAATCAGGTTCTCCAGAACCCTGCTGTTGTGTAGGACAATTGAGCATTTTCACATGTCATGTGGTGAATAATAGTTCTGCAGAGTAACATGACTTTTATATTTCACAGATGAAAAAGTGGGTGTGGCGTGGTAGGAAAATGTGGACACAGCATGTGTAATATTCTGAGTTCAATTCCAAGCATAGGGAAAGACTCCCTCAAAAGTAAAGCTTCCAGCTTGCCCAGGATGGAATAGCATATTGCATGGTATGCACAGTCTAGGATGCATACTATGAATATTGTATATTACTTAAAATAGCAATAGTCTGATTTTTGCAATCAGCAAAACCATGAATTGTTCCTTACAGTATGAATGTAAACCATTTTTGTCCTTCATAAAGGTGCTGGAAATTCAGAATCAATTCAAAATCAGTATTCAGAACAGAGGCTATTATGAGTTCATTTAACAGGCCACATGTGGATCCGAAAGAAAGTTTATGTTCAATTTTCAGTCTTTCTTTATTTTTTATTGTGAAAATACAGTACAGAGGGGTTACAATTACATGGGCAAGATAATGAGTACATTTCTTATCAAGCATTGTAGTCTCCTCCTTTGTTTCTCCTTCCCATCCCTTCCCATTCTCCCCCTACCCTCCCACCCAATCCTCCCCCCCCACCAAAGTTGTAAAGTTCATTTTCAACATAACGACTTGTACGTCTCATTGTTGCAATGGGTCCACCTGTATCCCTATTTAAACAATTTGTTTTTTCCCTTCCTCTCCACAATCAATTCTCAGTCTTGATGTATATTATTTCACAGTTTGTAAATGGAGGATTTGTCGATGCAAGTCACTAAGACAGTGCCTTTTCTTTTTCCTCTAATTAATCATTATTACATATGATTGTTTGTTTTGAGGTGCCAGATTAACTGGATACATGAAGATACTTTTCAAAGCCACCATCAACTAAGCACACTTGTGTTAACCGGAAACCCCCTGGTATTTATGGCTACTACATCACTTGATGGGCCCCAGTCACTGAAACATCTGTTCTTAATCCAAACAGGAATATCCAGTCTTGAATTTATTCCAAGGCACAATCTGAAAGACTTAGAAAGTTTGTACCTTGGGAGCAACTATATTGCCTCCATTAAGCTCCCTGAAGACTTCCTGACAAGGAATCTGAAAGTCCTGGATTTTCAGAATAATGCTATACACTACCTCTCCAGAAAAGATATAAATTCTCTGAAGCCATCCAGTAACCTGAGCCTTAACTTCAAAGGCAATGACATTAAAGGCATTGAGCCTGGGGCTTTTGAGTCAACAGTCTTCCAAAGTTTGAACTTTGGAGGGACTCGCAACTTGTCTGTGGTATTAAATGGTCTGCAGAACTCTACTATTCAATCTCTGTGGCTGGGGACATTTGTGGACACAGAGGACGAAGATGTTACTTTAGATATGCTCCAGGGTCTTTGTGAAATATCCGTTGAGAGCATCTACCTGCAGAAGCACCATTTCTATGACCTCTCCCCCACCACGTTTCAGTGTTTCACCGGCCTCCAGGAACTGGATCTGACGGCCACTCACTTGAAAGCATTACCCTCTGGAATTGAGGGCATGAACTTACTCAAGAAATTAGTTCTCAATGGCAACAGTTTTGACCAATTATGTCAAATCAATGCTGCCAATTTTCCTTCCCTCACCCACCTTTCCATCAAAGGCAATAGGAAGAAACTTCACCTTGGGACTGGCTGTTTAGAAAAATTAGAAAATCTTCAGAAACTGGACTTGAGCCATGATGACATAGATGCCACTGATTGTTGCAATCTGCAACTTAAAAACCTATCTCGCCTGCAAAGTCTAAACCTGAGTTTCAATGAGCCTCTTGGTCTCCAGAGTGAGGCGTTCAAAGCATGTCCTCACCTGGCATTCTTGGATTTGGCATTTACCCACCTACTTGTTAATGCGCCACAAAGTCCTTTCAAAGGCCTCCAGCTCCTACAGGCTCTGAATCTCTCTCACTGCCTTCTTGACACCAGTAATCAGTATCTTCTCACTGGCCTGCCAAATCTCCAACATCTAAACTTAGAGGGAAATCACTTTCAAGATGGAAGTATTTCAATGATCAACCCACTTCAGACAGTGCCCAACCTGGAGAGTCTGGTTTTATCCTATTGTGATCTCTCTTCCATACATCTGCAAGCCTTCAAGGGCCTTGGAAAGATACATCGCATAGATCTAAGCCATAACAGCCTGACATCTAGTAGCCTGGAGGCTTTCAGCGATCTTAAGGGGATGTACCTCAATCTGGCAGCCAATAACATCCGTATTATCCCACCCCATCTCCTTCCCATCTTGTCCCAGCAGAATACTATTAATTTAAGTCACAATCCCCTAGACTGCACTTGCTCGAATGTTTATTTTTTAACATGGTATCAAAAAAACCTACACAAAGTCGAGGACTCCGAGAAGACACTGTGTGCAAATCCTCCATCACTAACGGGGGTTAAACTGTCTGACGTCATGCTGAACTGTGGGATTACAGCTGTGGGCATTTTCTTTCTCATATTATTTTTGCTCTTGTTTGCCATTGTACTCATTCTTGCAATTAAGTTCCTTCTCAGGTGGAAGTATCAACACCTTTAAGTGCTGAAACTTTCCAGAGATGGCAGATACATGTATTGAGCAAAATTGCTCTACATGAGGAAACTATGGTCTATTCTTCACCATGACCATGGGGTAACTGTTTCATTAGTGACCAGACTTTAGATTGGTTCTTGATGCTGGGTTGGAATCGACTGTTGTTTTTCTGAGCTTCTTTACCCTTGGGAGTCCTGCATGGAGGGAAAACCAGGGCGAGAGGGCCAGATGCTGTGTGAAGATACGGAGCCCTTTCCTCATACGGAAGTGGGCAGAAATGGAAGCAGGAAGAACTCATCACAGTCATCTGCTCTCCACATATTGAAACCCCTGAAGCCTCTCTCACCTTGCTCCCAAAGGACATCATCGACTCCTGCTCCTAACAACTTGAAAGTGCTAAGGCCAGGCTCCCTCTCCCAAGGCTCAGGCCTTGTGCTCAAGACTAAACTCTCAGCCATGTAGCCATTTGCGAAATAGTCTAGGACAAAGTCCCAATGCTTATTTTAAATGTAAAAACAATGCAATGAATTTTAAAGACTAAGCAATGAATGTTGCTCTCAAATAGACTCTATTGATCTTCTTCATTCTTAGGTTTCTCAAGTTTCTATAATATCCTAAGGTACAAATCACTATGAAAATAAAAATAATCTTCCTTTATCACCAAAGTCTAGGGTTTCATTTGCTTCTATAACTTTACAACCATACAGGGAGGCTCCCTCGAGTCTGTCTGGTGTTCTAGGTTTTATGTTGCAAACCCAATTTTACAGGTGGGCTGCAATCCAAAGCACTGGTCTCATTTGGTATCTAGTCCTTAGAAGCCTGTCTCCCGTAGGAACAGGGAGATAATGGTGGTTTGGTTCCCAGGCTATGCCTCAAAAGCCTATTCACCTGGGAAAATATTTAAGACAGCGCTTTCACAATGGAACCTCGTGGGCAGAGCCACCTCTGTGCACTAGCTGTTGGGAACATGATAAGGAGGTTTAGTGAGAAGTGGTTTCTGTTGAGACTGGGCTGTCAGTGGTGGCTGTATGAGTGACAGGTAGGAATTAGAGCCATATACAAAGAGGATGGTGTAAAGGACAGTGTCACAATTTAGGCTTTCTCAAGACTCAGTAAATCTCACTAATGTGGGCCTCAATCTCAAGTCTAGATTGCTGGACAATCTTGCTGGGAACTGAGATGCTTGACCACTCTATCTCTAGTCTCCCTCTTCTCCTCATCCACAGATCTGAACACCCGCAGAGAAACAATATTCAGAAATATTTCATGGCTACTGAGCATATACAGACTACATATTATTCCCTAAAGAATACAGTATGACAACATAGCATTTATATAGTATGAGGTACAAGTAATTTAGAGATTAAAGTATATGGGAGGAAATATGGAGGTTATACATAATATACCATAGCATTTTATGTAATCGCAGGACTTGGCTATCTGTGGGGAGATAGAAAGCAATCTCATGGATCAACCCCTTCCCCCATTGGAACCCAAAAAGCATCTGTATAAGGCCTTGATTAAATTCTGCAACCAATTTGTAATACTTCTGAACATCTGAATATCAAAGAAAAAATTATCTATCTTAAAATTCAATCAGAGGGATCGTACACACACATATATACACATGTGTGTGTGCACATACACGAATCCTATCAGAACTTGCTAGCTCCTAAGCTGAGGGACTAATACTGGTGTAGCAACAGTAGCAATGTGGGGACCTACCTTCTCTCCTCTTCTTCATACCCAGGAAAAGCAGGATGTGTGAGGCCACCACAGCGAGTGAACATTTTTCCAGTTCAGGGACTTGAGGCTTCTTTACTCTTTCTGTTTTCTTTGGTTTAAGATGTTGCATCAAATCTCCAAACCACTGGTTCCCTTGCAGCCTTAAAATTTTTCAGGCTTTCCCCTCTGACAGCAGCTCTCCACTGACCGCACAAACCCAAGCTAAGGATACCACGCCCACACGAACTCTCTAGTAGCTTCCTAGTCTTCAGGTGTTCCTCCGTGTGTGGAATTGCTTCCCTCACCTGTTTTAATTTGCCTTTCATGTCCTCTGTCTTCCTCAGATTTAAAGTCTACGAGAGAGTCTTTCCTCAAGTGGGTGTCCTAGAACACGCCCAGGCCATAGTACGGAGTCAATATATCTTTATATTTATTTTTAATTGTTATTGTAAAGGTGATGTACAAAGGGATTGTAGTCGCATAAGTCAGATAAAGAGTGCGTTTCTTTTTGGAAAATGTCACCCCTTCTGTCACTCTCTCCCAGTTTTTCCCTCCCAGCCCCACCCATAAGTTGTATAGCTCATTTTCAACATAGTGTCCAGTGAATACCACTACTGCATTTGTTCATCCTTCAACGTGTTTTTGATCATTGCTCATAGGTTGCCTGACCTCTGTTCCCTGACCATTTATTGGCACCTAATTCTACCCTAGGCCCACACCTACGACTCTTAGCTTCAGTCAACATCTCCAGTGTTCCCTGGGCTTCCCATGTTTCTCCTTAGAATTACTCAGAGCAGTATTTAAAAACTGGATTCCTGACTGGGACTAATAGTTCATTTAATCCCAGATCCGGAGGTAGAGGTAGTAGGATTGCAAGTTTAAGGCCAACCTGGTCTACATAGTAAGAAACAAGCAACAATAACAAAAAAAATCCACAATAAAACAAAACAAATAATCCCCTAAAATCTAAACAAATAAACAAAACAAAGCTGGATTGATTCTTTTGTCTTACTGCCAGATGATAGAACTCTTTTTTTTTTGTCATTCATGGGGCTTGAACTCTGGGCCTGGGCGTTGTCCCTCAGCTCTTCAGCTCAAGGCTAGCACTCTACCACTTGAGCCACAGCGCCACTTCCGGCTTTCTCTGTTTATGTGGTGCTGAGGAATAGAACCAGGGCCTCATGCATGTGAGCCAAGCACTCTACCTCTGAGCCACCTTCCCAGACCAGATAATAGAATTGTTTTTGATCGAGGCTAGCCCTAGATTTATAATCAATGATTGCTTTCATGTATAAAATACTTCCATATTCTAAATGGTAGGTGTATTTCTACTTCTTCCACCTCAGAATGGAGATGAAATTCCATCATAGGAATGCAGTTTTAGGCAGCACCAACCACTGGATTTCCTGTGCATTCTGTTGAATGTCAGATTTTTCCTGCTTTAAGAACTTGCACTGTAGATAGGAAATTGCTCATCTACCACCCACAGCCACACTAGACTCCATAGTATTTAATGAAGAACTTGGACAACCAAACTGTTCTGAAAAAAAATTCTTTGATGCATATTACATTACACTAAAGGCCACAGGGTCTCTAGCCGTGGTGAGACCCAACTGCCCTTTAGCTTTTATTTGTCTTATTTGTCAGCCATCCTCCTTTTCCATGTAATGTGACTTGCTGCTTCATAACTGTGCCTTGATCTAAGGCTCTGTGACAGCACCTCTGCTTTAAGCAACAGTAAATTCACCCCACAAAGTCAGAAAGGGAGTTTGTTGATGGCTGCTGTCAGTTTTATTGCTTTATCTGGTTACTAGGGTAGAATCTGTAGACATGGTGTGTTTATTGGCTTTATGTATCGCATGTTGTTGCTGCTTTGACAAGCTACTCCTATAAAAATGTGTTATTATTGCATGATGTAGCTCAGTGAGCTGACCCTGCATTTCAAAGTGTACTGAAGCAAATAGCATCGAAGTCCATAAAAGCTGACTGGCCTCCATCACAGAGGATCTCTGCGTGAGCTGCAAGTCTTATAATCTGAGAAAGAATGATACCTTCCTCTATGCCTGCAGCCTCTGCTATTAACAGCACAGCATGGCCCCAAACACAGGCATTAGTGGAAAAACTGCAAAACATTCTTCCCTGTCCAATTCTCTGATAAGCACCAACTACAATTTTAAAGTTTACAAACATATGAAACAACCAGCCTCTTAATGTTTACCTATGTGAGAGTAGACTAGAAGTGGCAACAATTTTTATCTGCTCTCCATGCTGAAGAGAAACTTGAATTATAGCAAGTAATAGTACTAGAAGTCAACTGACTAATATGTTAAGGATTTAAATAATATTGCATTTGAGATAGTCCATGCTATCAAAATTGGAATTAACCTGAGGGAATTGGCTCCCAAACCCACTCAGTATCAGAATAACCTAAAGAACTCTTTACCAAACAGATGTCAGTACCCTGCTCTTAGGTTTCAGAATACCATGGGACTAGGATCAATTCTAAAGTCTGACCAAATTATTTTATATAAAACTCTTCGCTCATCTTAATCAACCAATAATCGAAACTCGTTAGGCCCTGGGAGTCAAATGAATGGGGATCTGTCAGAAATTTGTCAGCAAAAAAAATAGAGCAAAATCATAAAGAAGCCCTCCAGTCTGGGCGAAACATCCTGGAGGGCGGTGTGCTAGTCCCTTCTGCTACCTACCAGGCTGCAAGACTGTCTCCCACCGATGCCCTCCTCCCACTCCAACTGAGCTGTTTATCATTTGAAATCATGCTTTGAATATGTGAGACCTTAAAAAAAAAGAATTAATCGATGGATTATATTTCAAAGCTGTGGTTGACCATATATGGTCAAGGTTAAGCAGTGAAGTTAAGTGTTAGAGTTCCATCTACCTTCTTTGCCATCTGTAGTTAATGTTCTTTGAGCACCTGGTGCTAGATTCTACCAAGGTGAAGAAGAGGACAAGTGACAATCAGAATGTCCATCCATTCTCCTCTTTTTCCCTTCAAGCTGATTCGTGGGCTTTCTCTATTGCTTTCATTCCCCTTTTGTCTTTCTATCCTCCTTAGAAACAATGTAAACATGCTAAAGTACATAAATTATTAAATAAATGAGAGAATGCTCTGAATAAAAGGGGAGATATTGCATACACTTTAGAGGAACAGTGAATACTATAAGCATATCTAGAATCAGAGAAGCTCATGTTAAAATAAACTTTCTACCCACCGGACTAGCAAAGAGGGAAAGTAACACTATAGACAGTGGGGATATGCCATTATAGGAACTGCATGCTTCACTCATGGGTGTGTGGATTGGGGCAGCCCCTTCTAGGTCCATTTGGGAATAATTAGTCAAATTAAATATTATCCACTCATTCTACTGTGGTGTAGTATCCCAAGAAAGTGTCATATGTTGGCCAAGACATTCATCCAGACATTCATGGGGGGTGGGGAGATGTTCTTGGCAGTTTGAGTGTTCATTTCTAGGAAAGCAGACAGGCAAATTTCATAATACAGGAGATCAGACTGTAGCTGGAAGCAATGGATTAGACACGGCCAGAGTTAAATCTTAAACACTGTTAGAAGAAAAATTTCAAGCAAATGAAATTAAAGCAGAATTTATCTGTGTAAAGGATTCACGAGTTGGGCACACTTTGAAACAGTGGTACAGAGGTACAGGAAAGGAAGTGGCTGACAGAAATGATTTGATTAGTTATAGCTGTCTTTGCCTTATTTGGGCAGGATATGTTGAGCTAGTTGCCTTACATGGACATTGTCTCATCAT